TCCCTATATTTTTACATTATTACAACAATAACGAATCTTTGGATTTACATACATTTTTATATCTCTTCACTATGTTTATTCATTTTTTATTATATTTTGAATTATTACAATACAAACATCATTTAACACTATTTAATTAAACTTTTAATGCATTATAAAGAAAAAATAACAATATTTTATTAGAATTTAGGTAAATTATTATATGACCAATATGTATATTATTCGTGTGTGTTGTTTTATTTATTTTTATATTTATTTCAACACCATTAGTAGCCTATTGCTATACGGAGTGTTTTGGTCCATAGTCGTTATTATTGATAATCACACTGTGATTCATTGTGTTCATAATAATATCGCCTGCAGTCTCGTTTAAATATAAAGTTAAAACTGCAAGCCTTTAATAATCGATAAGTACTCATTTTTTAACTTATTTCGTCTTGTGGCTGTTGCTAATAAAGTGAACTCCCCGTCACCAATTCTAAAACACTATAATTTGTTTGTCACTTTTTAATACATAAGCTTTGTTGTTACAATCAATTTTAATTTATGCTAGTGTATGTACCGTGCTCAAACTTCTTATGCACTCCACCTCTCTTCCACAAAATTGAACATTAAAAATAAAAAAAATATCCAAGCACATAATCACACCTAACCCGAAAAGTATAAAACCGGACGTCGATTAATCAAGTATCTTTTTGTCTAAGTATTCAAAGATGATTTATAAAATATTTATAACTAGTTTCACATTTATTCTATTTTAGATTTTTTAAATTAAATGTTCATATCTCTTTATATCATTAGATAACAAACTATTTGGATTTCGATTATAACAATCGCTTTGTTTGTACGTAAGGATCAAGGTAAAATGAATAAAAAATAATAAACAACCCTTGGGAAATATGACGACAATGTCGAGGATGACTGTGCCGTTTGGGCATTTTAGAAATGTAAACAAGAAATTTTATATTCAGAGTGCAGCGCTTAAGATTTGTTTCTGCGTTCAGTGACCAGAGAGAAAAAACACATCTCCCCATTTTTTCAAGAGACTGAAAATTGATATTTAAGTTTTAATTTTCTAATCTCGACTAAAAGCAATTGATATATCATAATGTACGACGTGTATTGTTGAATTTTAGATTTAATATTCCCTTGAAAAAAAAAATATATATCCTTCAATAAGTATATGCGCGTTGTTATAATGGCGGCGAGTCGTATTAAAATAGACAGTGAAAGGTACAATTTGTTAGAATAGATTAAAAGTCTCTATAAATGTTTGTAGAATAGTAGAACGTAATGCTTATAACAACGAATCATTTTAGGGTTTAAACTGCTGAGTTTGTCATTTGTTGAAATGACGACAACTGAAACTGATAATATCAAAAATTCGTAGTAAACGAGGGGAAGGTGAACACTGGAGCTGCAATTTACCCTCTTCCATACACCAAGCCCATCGTAATTATGCGTTTCTTACAGTCAGTCGAAATAACGAGGACTCAGAAGATTTACTTGTTATGTGACGGGTGACCTTGTATACGTGCAACAATTTTTCATGTGGTCACCTATGGCGGAACAATATCTGATGACACAATGATTAATGTTTAGTGATGACTGAATCCGATAACGTGGCCAACATTCTGTTTTAATTGACAAATTTACACAAAATTGACAAACGCATATTTTTATTCATTGAAAAATGTATTGAAATATAAAAATATTTTTAATTGATTCAAGATTTCCGAGAATTATTATACCACTCAAATATTGAATTCAAGTATTTAAAGTTGATTATTTCAAATTCATCTTCGCAAAGACTAAAATTAAAGCTACATGATTATTTTTGTATTTTCAAAAAACCACCTCTCTTTATTGTTAAAAAGCGGGTAAAGCTATTTTATTTTGTTAGTTTTTAGTTTATCATATAATAAAAATGTGGTATTTTATACATTCTATCCTTAATAATGCATATTATTTTTTATTATATTATTAACAATTATTTACAATATACTAAAATATCATTTTTAGGATAACTTATAATTTTAGAAATTATGTAGTTCAATTAATGAGATATTCAAAATCAAAATTTTGTATAAGAAATATAAAAATGAAGTACAGAATAAAAAACAAATTTAATATTTGGCAAAAATTTGAATGCAATTTGACTTTGGTCAATTAAATTTGTTAGACTACAATTGAAAATGTAATAATTATAAACATAATTCAATGGGATCATCACAAAATCTGAAATCAATAATGCACAATTTCTTTCAATTAAATTGTTAAAGAAAAATTATTTTAATTAACCCAGATATTTAAAAATATCATTTTTTTAGCCATAATTCATTTGTCAGATTCAAGTGGGAGGTAGGAGTAACTAGTCCATCTTCTATCCCTGTTTCGGTACCACACCATTTCTTCAGTTTTTAACATTTAAGTTAACATAAAATAATTCACTATTCAATTATAAAATATTAAAAATGTGTTTATAATAAATTGTACAATTTAACGTTTATTAGGTAAAAATTGTTCGAATAATTTTCTAATAAAACTAAACAATTTCCTGGTTACTCTTTAAAATGTTTGATTAATTCTGGACAAATTATTTATTGAAAAGTATTTCGACAAATAAATTGAGTTGTAGAAATATTTTATAAATTTGGGATTAACTTTTTTGATCCCGTATAGTATTGTACATATAGTAATATATAGTATTGTTCAGATCGAAAATATTTGGAAGACTTCAAAAAAGCCATACAATCCTTCAGAACTTCTTGGGTCTAATGCAATGAAATTGTACCTTCTCATGTATCCAACTGAAATATATGAGCATCTAGCAACAAATATGTATAAGACTTTGAATTCTACAACAATTCAATTATACTTTTTTTCCATAGTAACTAGTTACATGTTTTTTCAGTTTTTGATAACCAAATTATTTTTCTCGATATATACATAATATTAAATTTTATGTTACAAAAATGTTTATCATTTTATCAAATAATAATAATTTAAAATAATGCAGTGACAAATAGTTATCTAAACTATTATGGTTCTAAATAGTTATTACAAATATACATAAATATATATATTTAAATCATGCTTCTTTGTAAAAAGATTCTTAAAAAGACTTCAGATTTATTTAATAATTTATTAAACTATAAACTTTTACTCGAAAAATAATATTAATATAATATAAACTTAAAAAAATATTAGTCCATGACTTTACTTAGGTCATCAAAATTTAAATAGTTTTCTTTGATGGGCTACTTAATATTGGAGTTAGTAATAGGGGTTGTAATGGTACAGTTTAGATAAAACATTGTAAATTAAAGTATTATTGTTTAATGTGCGACAACATCATATGGGATTTTTACGTTCGCGTTATGTGGTGGCGGCACTGGGAACATGTTGCTATGCGTAAGTGGTGATAAGAAGATAAGAAAGAGAGTTTTTGGTTATGTTTTAATGAACATGACATTTTTTCTTCTTCCTAATATTAATTAAAGAATCTAAATGAATTTCATGATGCATAAAAAGACACATTGGAGAGCTATATTAGAGAACCGTGAATAAATGTGCACGGATTTCAAATATATTCGCGCCCGAACCGAATGAACACGGCATTACTGGAACAACTGGAATTAAGGTCAGAACTTAAACGTCTACTACTAATACTCAGCTTATTCACATACTACACAGCACATTACAATTAAAATGATATATTTTAATATGAATGATTGTACAAATTTTTGTTATTGTCAAATTCAAAGAATTATAATTTATTTCTTCTGTTAGCAAAATTGTAATCAATTCGATTTATATATATATGTAAATAAAGTTAAATACCATTTCAGGGTAAACACTAATTTTAAAAATTTTAAGAAAAAAATATAAATGTATAGATACTAATTATGGATAAGTTACACTATAATAGAAATAGTTAAACAAACAATTGCAGTAATTCGTTTAACATTTAGTAACTATAAACTGTAAAAGAAAAACAACATTTTTTTGGGGATTTTATTACCTAACTTTGAATAATTTTTAAACGAGGGACAATATTTTGTAAATATTTTCTATGAAAATATTACTTTAAAAATAACTACAAAAATATATTAAATTATTTGGCTGAATCTTTTCTTCCTATTCCTTCACGTGCTGACACGTGCATATAAGTCCTCTGTATCTCTTGGACGTGAGTTGGATTACTGACAACGACCTAAGCGGAATGTAGCAATATCTTATAGTTCGCAGTATTGTGCAATCTTAAAATATGCGTACATAGTTACTAATATTTGGATGTTTGGACACTGTAAATTCTTTGTCTTTTAATTTCTCCATAATGTGTCATCTGCTTAAAATCATTATCGGTCGTGACATATCCGAGATCATTACAATACGTCAAATATAGTCGAATAATTCATAATTGAATAATAGAGAGAATAAATGACAGAGTGAATTGAGTGTAAAAGATAGGGCTAGTTGACAGATTATTGTTTCAGTCATTATTTTTGTATGATATAATAATTATTGTATGAATTCAAGGAGAAAAAAAATACTTTCAACACATTTTACTTTTAAATCTTGATAAATTATTTGTTAGTATAAAATATTTATGTATTGTATTTTTGAAAAAAATTGTTGAATCATTTCCAAAAATAGATAAATAGAAGTTAATCAAAAGAATTGATAAGGTTATTTATGAAATAAACAGTTTTATCACTTAAGTTGTATTCTAATATTAGTAAAAAAATTCCAATTATAAAAATAATTATTTATTAAAAAAATTTGTTTATTTTGATTAGGGGGTAGCAAACATTTTTTTTTGTTTAAAACTTCTAACTAGATATTGTTTTATGTTCATAAATAATAAATATCATCACCGATAATTAAATATTCTTTAAGTGAAATAAAGTCAAAATTACTGTAAAATGATATATTTTTATTTTAAACTAGTTATTGTAATAGACAAATTTAGATGTATCTTTGATATTTCAACTTACATTTTACAAGATCTCTAGAACCGGATCGCATCAATAACGGTTGCCCTTTTTCTCGTTTCCATGTGATTCTTGGTTCTGGATTACCGGTAGCATGACATGACAATGTAGCATTTTCACCTTCCATCAATGTAATGTCTGTACTTGACTCGTCAGTAATTATATCAGGAGGTACTGTAAGAAAAGAGTTGATAAACATGATGTGAATCACAATGAATACCAAATAAATACATTAATGAATGAATGAATTTAATAAATAATTGGAAAAATAAAATTATTAGAGACTGTTGCTTTATACATATTTATTAATTTTTATTGCAAATTTTGAAGTCAATAATAGTTGTAATAACATAATTTCTCGGTAATCATTGTAAAAGTACCAAAATATTTGAACAAAAAAAAAACCACAAAATATTTTTTTATTAACATAAATTTAAAAAAATAAAACACGAGAGTTTTTCGCAACTTTTATGGAGGATTTTAATTTAATACTTCTGCATCAATACTTAATGTAATTAAATTAATAATTTATTAGCTTAATAAAATGTATCCTTACAATTAGCCAACAAACCCTGTGATTTTATTTTACTGTTATTGCTATTTTATGATAGTTATAGGACACTACGATTTATGAGGTACTCCAATAACTTTGTTACTGGGAATTTAGTTTTAGTTATTAAAAATAAAAGAGGATTAAAGAGTTTTAATAATTGATAATTTTTGGAAATATTTTTTAAGTAATCCAAAGTTTTAGCTGAAGATTAATATTGATTTAAACTATATAATAAAATTAAAGTTTAATCTAATATATATATAAACTATTTTGCATATTTGTAATAATAATATTAAATAAAAAAAAACGCGTCATAGCAAAATTAATACTTTTTTAGCTTCGTATCAAAGCTAATGTTTGTATTTGAAATAAAAATAAAATCTGTAGTTATTTTCCTATAGTTTATATGTTAATTTTTTAGTCGAGTAAAACAATTTTAAAACGTCGATAGCATCTTATGGAAGTTAAATTTTGATAGGTTTGGTTAAAACAGTTGAAAACAAACTTTTATGTTCTAATTTTATCGTAGTTTTTTGTCATTTTATTTTTCAGTATAATTATGATAAAAATGTACTTTTGAGATTGAATAACTTTTAAATTTTTGGCTTAGATTAATTAATAGAGAAATAGATGAAACTGTATACACCTTAACATGAGTGTTTAACCAATCTATGTTTATTTTAATGTATTCATATTCATATTTAATAGTAAAATAAGAGATTTAACTAAGTACGCATAAATATATTGTACATTTTTCGAGAAGAATAAAAATAAGAAGAAAACGGTTTTAAGAAATAACTTGAGTAAGGTAGTTAAAAAAAGATGCATAAAGAAAAATCGTAATATTCTAGTTAAAATATTGTTTAGAAAAAAACCGTTTCATAAAAGGCAAAAGAAAAATAAGTGATGTCAAAATAATGTATTTTTTATTATTCGTATTTTATTGTTGTAGTGAAATTTATTTAATTTGTACATTTGTTTATATTTACAAAAGAATGCATGATAAAATGATGAATGATAGTTTCTACTACAAAGTGTTAAAAACAAAGACAAATGTATTGTCGCCATCTTTCAATAGTGAATAAGTTTTTAGCTCAATTTTAATTTACGTGAGATATATTAAGACGTATTGCAATAAACGCCTTTAATAGTAAATAGTGTAGTAAGAGTTTTGGTACCATACCGTATAAAGGGTTTTAAATATTACATATTGCAGGAAACATATACACCTAACTGCTTTTCATATTTGTCTTTGACTTTTTATTGCGTACGTTTTTAAATATTCATAACATTATCCATGTGTAAATGTAAGCGTTAAACTTGTTTGTTTCTTATATTTTATTCGTTTTTTTTAAATTCGATATGCGTACGATAGGCGTTTTATATTTTATTTAATTTGAAAAGTGTAACATTTTTTAAATGTTGTTAAGAATTATATTAATATAAATAGAGGAAAATGTCAGTTTAATAAATCAGATATTATAGCAACAAACTGTTGAATTTATAAACGAAAAATAAAAATTTTTTCGGACTAGTTACTATTTGATTTGAAAATCGCTCGAATTTTTATCGTTGCTGCCGTGAGTAATAATTTAAAATACTGAATTTTTGCAAACCTAGTGATAGTTCAGTTTTTTATTGTATGTTTTGCAATAAACATTTTACAAATTACATTTGCAAATATTTTTTGTATGCCATAGGTAAATAAATTATATTAAAGAAATTTCTCAAATAATTTATATTAAAATCAAAAATTATTATTATTTTTCCGAATTAATTTAAAAATGTACAAAATTTTAAATGAAACTGATACAAATACATTGTGAATTGGTATTGTTGTTGATATTGAATGGAATTCTGATACAAATCATATTTGTATTTAAAAAGTTTGAGTTTGAACTCTATATGAATTACAAAAGAATACTATTAACTATAAAAATAATTACCAGTAGTAGAATATTCAAGTGGAGTTTTTTGTTAAAACATTAATCGTGGTTTTGCAATTGCACTTGGCAGTCTTTCTTAGGTCACTATTTTGAAACCATATTCAAGCTATATAATTTATTCTTGAACATTAAGTTTAGAAAATAAGTATAACTTGGAAAATAATTATTATATATTAGTTGTTCTCATACTCTAACTTTTCAGTAATAAGTTTTTATAGTAATTATACGAAGGGTGTTCAATAAAGACCTGGATTTTTGTTAGCACTGTAAACATGTAAAACTTAGTACAGATGAAAAAAGCATTTTAATACGAGTTGAATGATTTTCCCCCTTTATAATTTGGTTAGGATAGTTTAGGAGTAACGGTCATTTGAAAAAAATTAAGTAAAAATCGCCTGTACACCTACAATGGCAGAAGTTTATAATCACTACTTTTTTCGCTAAAAAATGCACGATATAAACAAATGTGGTTCCAAATGTGTCAAACATTTAATGTTAAGTATTAAAATAAAATTCTAAAATAGTCGATTCATCGACATATTCAAATAAAGCGGCCAAATATGACAAAAGGTAAATCAAAATTACATCATGATAATGACAGGCTCCACGTTGCGCATGCTGTATGGGACTTCCTGATTGATTGTGATATTCATCAGCCATCCTACTGGCCAGATTTGACACCCTATGACCTGTATTTCACAGCAAAACCGGAATTAAAATGATGCAGATTAGTGTAAATAACGAGGCTTTAGGAGCAGTACAAGCGATTTTCAAGAGGATGTTAGAGAGAGTTCTAGCATGTATTCCAGAAGCTGCAGTAGAGGTGGATTAAGTGCATATGATTGAGGGAGAGAATTTATTGAATAGGAAAACGCGCCAGGTTTGTATTTTTTTAGGGTAAAATTTTGACAAAAATTGTCTAAATCTTTATATCGAACACTCCTTGCAAGTATAGAAATATTTACGTTCAGTGTAATTTAACAAATAGTTAATGTACGTAACTGATATGTTAACTGACAAATTTAATATATATATATATATATATATATATATATATTATATGTATATATTTTTTTTATTGTTCGTAAGTAGCAAGAATAAAGATAATGGTAATAATATTTTATACCAATCAGTTTGTTGAAATATATTTTTTTAAACAAGTTTTGTTATAAATAAATACACTGTATAATAATACATAACAAAATCTACAACGTATTTCCTATTTACCAGTAAAGTTTTATTATTTTTTTGGAAATCATCCACTATAATCTAACGATGATATTAAAGTTCTAGAATATGGCTAGAGTATGTTCGTAAACAGTGATTTGGGCTTAGGTTGGAGTTCCAGAGAGAAAATGGCCAATTGAGGGAATAACTAACCGGTCGACCGTCTATAGCCAAAGGGACGCAAGAAACTTATAATAACATATTGTGGTTAAGTAATGTTCAGTTAACGGAGGTCACATGCACGAGAGGTAAGAAATGATAATGGACAAAGGGTTAGAGGAAAGTCATCCAAGAGTGGACACGTGGAAAAGTAGTGCGGGTGTGTATAAAGAGTAGTCGAGTCTCTGTCGTCCGGTCACGTTTTCCTGTTAAATTCAGTTTATGTATACTTCCCGCCATTTGCTGGGCCATACAAAGACGGAAAACATAATGATATCTGCTTTGCCTTGGAGACGGACCTTTTATTCGGCTTCTTCGTATCTCCGTTAGGGTTACTCTTGTAAAGCGCAATAAAATCATTGCTGTCGTTGACATCCACGCTTATCTTTCATAATTTTACCGTGTCGATGTTGAGTGTTTTTGATTATACTTTTATAAATTTATTCGTGCATGACTTATGTTATCATGAAATAACAATTTGATTTTGACGAATTTATGTCGGTACTATTATATATTCAATAGAAACAATCAAAGATAACGATTTTAAAAAGTTAACCTCGTAATTCTATTTTAATAGATTCTTAATTATTATTAGTTACACTTTTAACAAGCCTAACGAATCAACCTAGGCATACGGCTGTATAATTTTTTAAGAGCACATTAACATTTTTACATTATTATGTAAATAAAAATAACGAAATGTAAATTTTAATTCCAGCTATGTTAAATACTTAAATTTATTTATTTATTTTTTAATTGTATCTTAGAATTTTTTATCTTTATAATTGAATTATAAAGCTGAAACAATAAAATTAAAACAAATTGATCTTCCTAAAAACGTGTTGGACAAGTATAGACATTTTTCGAAGAATTTAGTGAATTTACCTGAGAAAGTCTGTTTTGGTCAAAAATTGTAAGATTGCTATGCTTTAATTCGATTAGGTATAATTAAAATTTATTATAACTTCTAGAAAGATTAAAACTTGTCATAAAATATCATCCATCATCGTAAACACATCTAGTAATACTCCCTAATGGAAACAGTGATTACTTAACAAGTAAAGACTACAATACAAATCAATTAGATAATTGATTTAATTTTCTTATAATTATTTTTAAAATTCAGATTCAAATAAATTTGGTTTGATAATTTTGTTTTTTAAATGATTGTTCGTTCAGTAATTACAGAAAAAAAGGTGTAATTTTATTTAAATTTTATACATATATATATATATATATATATAATATCTATTGTATAGTTCTATTTATAACGCTAAAGTTATGTATATCAAAGTAATAATTGAGCTAAATTATTTTATTGTGAATTTTGTATTAAAAAAAAATTGTTTGTAATGGTAAATTAAGAGAAATATGTAAATAGTAAATAAATATGTACTAGTTAATTTATGTAAAAAAAAAAAATAAAATAAAATAAAAATTCAGCTTCATTCCTCACCATTAAGTTTTCTGAGGTTCTATTGTTTAAGTTCAAATAACCCCCAAAAGTACTACGGGATATTAGTCACTTTTTCTCAATAAAACTTAGGTATCATGTTTTTTTATCAAGGCGTGATTGTGTGGAAATTATAGATATTAACAGAATTAATTTAATATTTCTTTCTGAAAAAGTATTTTAATTATTGAAGTATAAAAGTATAATTATAATCAGAAGAGGTATTTTCAAAAAAAATAAGTGAACATAATTGCTTTTGCATAAATAATTTTTTATTTCTGAAGTCTTTGTCAATTGAATGAGCTGTTTTATTTCCGCAATTATTTATAATTGCATAAAAAAAAATTACTTTAAGGCTCATCAATTACCATGTTATTATTAACTTATGTATTCTGGCCATAGACTCCATTTTACCATCATCATCATCTCCTTAGCGTTATCCCAAATGTTTGAAGTTGACTCTAACTTGTGTATATCGTATACGAAAATGTATTAACCTGTAAATCATATTTTTTGGACTTACGATAGTCTAGTTCTGAGGTACAGAATATATATTTATCAAACTGTTCGTCTCAGAACGACTTTTTTTGCTTTCAAATAAGACACAAAAATTTTAAATTTATCTTGCAGTGATTTTCTAATAAAAAAAAATTGTTTTCTGAAACTTTTCTATACTAACTATTATTTTATTTTTGTGGTCGTGGTAAATATGTGGTGATTTTACTAACATAATATTATGTACACGAAACTCGTTACTGAATTAACTGAAAATCTACATTTTACAATAATTTTACTGGGAAACTAGCAAACAAACAAAATTATTCTGATTATGTAATAAGATTTGTTAAAAATGTCTGCCAAGTTATTGTTATTATATTTTTTTAATATGTATTTTTTCATGACCCTCGTAACTTATTCGTTATAATTTTACAATATTAACCATATTTATTAATAGCAAATATTATTATTAATGCTTAACACATCGTGTTGTACAGTTTAGTGGTTATGTTATTATATTGTTTAGTAATATTATAATGACTATAATGGTGGTTTGCACTGGAAAGCAAAGTAAAGGTTAATTTGTTAATGGAGTTCTTCGTTTAGACGGCTTAGTTCTGGTCCATTATCTTTAGCTCTCTAGAACGTGCAGTTTGATGGTAATGTTGGCGGTGTAAAGAAACTACCCGTCACAACTTCCCCACACGACGACATCTCGCAAAACTTTGGTACACAGTTTTCGAAAGTTTTTGGGATTCGTCTTCTTCTGCCTAGCCATCGTTTCCATTACTACCATCTTTACTTCGTCAATAGGTAATTTCACTATGCGACCATTTTCATCCGTCGCTCCTCTAAATTGTTACAAGGGTCTGATCACGTACTCGATTAATCGTATCTTCATGTTACATGATAATACTTATTTTATATTTTACTCGAGTCATGTTTAATATAACATAAGCGCTATACATAGACAGCTAATAGTTCATCTCGGAAGTAATTCTAACAATACATATCTGTAAGTTACTATGAATATGCAATGTGTACAACAACTGAAGTGTCACGCGTGTAGACTTTCAATTCGTTGCCCTGTTAAACTTAATTTTTATCGTTGTAATAATATTAATTAAATATAATATCGAGTTAAAAGTATAATATGTAGCATATAAACGTACATAATTTATTACAATGAAACGTCATTCGTTTATCATAACGTAATTAGTTACATCTTAAAAAAATTTGGAAATGTCTTTTTTCGATTTTTTAGTTTGGATATTTCTCTCGGTTCGTCTAACATTACTACTTTTTAGTCGTTTTTTATACATTACCAATGTATCAGCTTTATTTTTAAAATAGAAAAATACATATTATTTATTCTATATAATAGAAAATAATCTAATGAAGAGAAATTACCGACCTATGACAATTTTTGACTTAGTATTTCGGTAGTTATTACTATTTAAAAATATAAACAGGTTAAAGATGCGGTTTATTATTATTATTATGATCAGAAGTCACCCTACTCCTACAGCTCTAATATAAAATTATTCATTGTTACAACAATAGATAAATTATAATATAACTTCTTGGGTTTTATCTAAACAAAATATATTCTTAATTTTACAGTATTTTTATAATAGAAATATTCAATTGCTCATAAATTAATTAAATTATAAGTATTAAGAGGAGTTATTGACCTCAGAAAGCTTATCAATTAGTCATTAGTGAGAGGCAGTAATTTCGAAGTTAGATATTAAAGCTATTAATTTAAAAATAAGTATTTTATATGTTCTATAAATGTTAATTAAAAAATAAAAATAAACTTTTAATTTCGTATTTGTAAAAAATTAAAAAACTTAATAAGGTTTTTATCATTACTATTTTTTTTAAATTTTGTAAGAGTAAAACTCTCAAAATTCATTTTATACCAATTATTCCCGAATGAGAATAATACTATTACTTGACTTATTTACGAAAATTTTGAAGTAGATTATTATTTAAATTTTGATATTTTCTTTATGCGTTTTTAAGTTTCAAATAATAATATTGTCCTATATTTTAATCAGTAGCAAAACTAGGAATTTTTGAGGAAGTAGTTAGAATTAAAAAACAATTTTCTTTGCTTATAACTTCATAAAATTACTAAAAATTTAATTCATAATTAAATAGTTTGTGATTCAATAATTGGGGCATGGTACAGTGTAGTGGACTACTCAGTCGTTACTTTAGTACTGATATTCAGTTGCGCTGTTGCTGTTGGTTTCCATATGGTCACCCATCCGGGAATTTTAACACCAGCGTATAGCTTTGTCTCCTTTCTTTAGTGGATTGCTTATACACACCAAGTTATTAAGAGATCATTCGGAAAAAAAAAACTCAATAATTGACTTAACATCACAATAAAACTCAATAAAGCTAAACATTTTGGTTATAAACCCCAATCCCTAAGTTTTGAATGCAATTTGGATCCTTTATCGATATAAAAACTTTTAAGATATTTTAATTTCATGTACTCAAATCTTACACTAAAAAAAAAAATCATAATTTTTAATATAATATACATCAAAGCAATTTTAAGCTGAATCATTTACAGGAATTAAATATAATTAATAATTGTTATAATTAATTAATAACTCTCACTTACGTCTTATAAAGGTATGCTTAAAAAGGAGAACAAAAGCTGAATCCCAATTATATTATAATTTAGCAACAAAAATTATTTTTATTGATATTTTCGTTACGATGTTAAAAGTTATAAGGTAATTATACCTTTTACTTGATAGTAATATTTTTTGTCTTGATTTGAACCTTTTTTTTTAACATTTTCTATGTAAAATTTGGTGTCAATATACAGAGTTCTATATATATATATATATATATATATATA